TATATACATACACAAGGCCTGGATTGGAGGAGCCCTGGAGCTACCCCTCCTGGTGCTCACTCCTGCCCTTTGCCTTTCCTGGCCCAGCTCTCGGAGAGCCCTGCCTCCCTGCCCTCATGCCCTCCAGTGGAGACAGCCCTCATCAACCAACGAGACCTGACTGATGCCCTTCTGGATACTGAGCGGCGTAGCTTGCGGGAGCTGGCCCAGTCATCGGGTCGGTCAGGGTGCCCTAGGGACAGCTGACCCGTCAGGCACCCTCAGCCTCATCTCACACTGACCTCTTTTCTCCCGATAGGTGACCCCCTTCCTCAGGCCTCTCCTGTCTCCCTCTATCTCTTCCCCGGTGAACGGAGTGGGGCCCAGGCCCCTTTGCCTCCTCCTGGGGGCTCTTCTCATACCTTGGAGTCATATTCTAAGGCAAAGGAGCATGAAAAAGAAGAGGAAGGGGACGGAGACACCCTGGACAGTGATGAGTTCTGCATCCTTGACGCCCCTGGCCTAGGCATCGCGGTGGGTTGGGATTGGGGTTCTGGTTGCCCAGCCCTTCTAGAGCTCTTAGGTAGGAGAAGCAGCCAGAAGAGGAGACAAAATATCCTGTACAGACAGGGGGCAGAGGAAGAAGGGGGCCGTTAGCAGAAGAGAGTGCCATGTAACTATAAGGACTAGTGAGATGGCCAAGCTCATTAAGGTTCCAGGTGACAGGACCAACAGGAGCAAAACTTCTCCTGGGAAGACCACCTAGACACTGACACTGGGCTGGGAGTTCAGGAGAGTCAATTTTTTGTTGTTGTTAAAAATAGAGGAAGAAGGCTGGGCGGTGGTCCTTTAATCCCAGCACTCGGGAGGCAGAGGCAGGGGGGGTCTCTGAGTTCGAGGCCAGCCTGGTCTACAAAAACTAGTTCCAGGATAGGTTCCAAAGCCACAGAGAAACCCTGTCTTAAAAAAAAAAAAAAAAAGAAAGAAAGAAAAGAAAGAAAAAAAGAAAGAAAGAAAGAAAGGAAAAATAAAAATAGAGGGAGAAGAAAGGGAGACAAAAAGGCAGGTGCTGGTGATGGCCACCTCTTTGTCACACATCTTTGGTTGGCTATTTTCTGGCAGCCCCGAGATGGGGAACCCATTGTGACACAGCTGCACCCAGGCCCCATCATCGTGCAGGATGGATACTTCTCCCAGCCACTGGGAAGCACTGACCTACTGCGGGCGCCTGCCCACTTCCCAGTGCCCAGCAGCCGTGTGGTACTACGGGAAGTCTCCTTCATCTGGCACCTCTATGGGGGTAGAGACTTTGGCCTTCACCCCACTCACAGGTTAGAGGCATGTGGGTAGCAATTGGGATTATGATCTGGGCATAGCCTCCATTGTGACCTCCAGCGGCTGGCAGCCTCAAGCCTCACGCATCTCTGTACTCTGACCTTGAGTTTTTCCTTGCCCTGGCCTGACACTGAGGGTTTCCTCCCCCAGGCTTAAAGGACGGCTGAGGTTGAGGAGAGCAGATATTTCCTCAGTCAGCTTGACCCCATGTGTCTTTTCCCAGAGCAAGAGTTGGTTTCACAGGCCCCAGGGTCTCCCCTTCCCGCTCCTCTGGTCCCAACCGACCCCAGAACTCCTGGCGTACCCAAGGTGGTATCGGACGGCAGCACCAGGCTCTCATGGAGATCCAGCTCAGCAAAGTGAGTGCAAGGCTGAGTGAGGAGTGAACCCAGAAGAAAGGCTCTAGGGAAAAAGCAGGGTGGTGGCAGGTGATGATGGATTCCAGAGGGCTTGGATATCAGGTGCCACAGGTCATATGAGGAAGAGAGTGGTCCAAAGAGCCCAAAAGGGTGTTAGAGGTTCCAGTTTTCTTAGAGCAACCTGTTTTTGCTGAGCAAGCATGGTGACAGATAACAGAGCATGCAAAGCTGTTGGTGGCTGGGAGGGCTCAGGAAACAGCATCCTGTCTGTAGCTAGAAGACCTGGTAGGAGCCAGAAGCATCCAGAAATAGAAAAGGCTTTATAACAGAAGTTTAAAGATAAGATAGGCCTGGGCAAGAACAAGGACAGGCATGGAGGGGAAGTCAAGCCCCTCTTCCCCCAGGACAGGCAGCAGAGCACACACCCCTGGGTGCAGAACACGGCTTAGAGAGGGTGGGACCATGCTGGGCTGAAGGAGAGCGTTTAGAGACCAGTGAGGTGAATGGGCCTCAGGAAGGTCTGACAAGGTGGTGTCCCACTTAAAAGTAGAAGAAAGGCTGTGGGAAGGTTGGATGGATTGGGGCAGGTCAAGTTTGGTGTGGCTAGGTTGGCGGCAGGGATTCAGCTGTTAGTATGGGCCTGAGGTGGGACAGGGTCAGGAAGGGTTTCTGGGAGGGAAAGGGCCTCAGCCAGACCCCTCCCTCTTAGGCCCCAGGGCACAACTCAGTCCTCATCCACCACAGGTGAGCTTCCAGCATGAAGTATACCCAGAAGAGTCAGCCACAGGTGGGGGCCCTGGCCAGGAGCCGGAAGAGCGGCCACTGTCCCGCCAGGTGCTCATTGTTCAAGAGCTAGAGATCCGAGACCGGTTGGCCACCTCCAAGATCAACAAATTCCTTCATTTGCACACGAGCGAGCGGCTGCCAAGGCGCTCACACTCTAATATGGTGAGTGTACTTGGGTGTGGGCAGCCTCTTTCCCATAGACCCTCCTGAGCGTGCTGTATGTCCAGAGGACAGAGTCCAGCCTGGACAGAGAGAGGCAAGGGTGATGACGTTGGGAATGGGGTTCCCAAAGCCCAGCAGACATCCAGTTTACCCTCTGCCGTCAGCTTACCATAAAGGCGCTGCATGTCGCTCCCACCAGCAGCCTGGGAGGGCCAGAATGCTGTCTTCGGGTCTCCATGATGCCTCTAAGGCTCAATGTGGACCAGGTGAGTAGATGGGCAAGGGCAGAACCCATCGTGACCCCCTGGCCCTGGATCTGACCCAGAACTCTTCCTGCAGGATGCCCTCTTCTTCCTCAAGGACTTTTTTACCAGTCTAGTGGCTGGCATCAACCCCATGATCCCAGGAGATGCTTCTGCTGAAGGTGAGAGACCAGGCCAGGGAGGGGACTCTAGATCCTGCCACCCCAGCCATCCTCAGTTTCATCCTGGGTCTGTGGCCTCTCTCCCTCCAGCTCATCGAGAAACCCACAGCCGGCCCAGCAGTCCCCAGGAAGGGCAGTCTGAGGGCACAGAGACAGCGAGTAGTCCCCATGAGGTTCCAGGCAGTGGCCACAGCTCCTCTGACCCACAGCCCATCTACTTCAGGTAGGGAAGAGAGACCTGGGCCAGGCTGTCTGCCAACTAAGTCAGTGACCAGGTCAGTGACCGAGGATCCTCTCCCTTCTTCCTCTTCCAGGGAGTTCCGCTTCACATCTGAGGTGCCCATCTGCCTGGATTACCATGGCAAGCATGTCACCGTAGACCAGGTGGTGAGTGGTGCCATCAGACAGGCTGTGTGAGCCACTCTCTGTGGCTCCAGGGTCTGGGACCAAGATTCACAGCATGTGTCCCAAACATAATCACACCCTGTGCCCCCTCCCAATAGGGCACTTTCACAGGACTGCTCATCGGCCTGGCCCAGCTCAACTGCTCCGAGCTGAAGCTCAAGCGGCTTTGCTGCCGGCATGGGTGAGCCCCCAGCCCCTCCCTTGTGGGGTCTACAGCCTTCACTCTGCTGTTTCTCAGGGGGTGCATAGCCTTGGCCAAATCTTTACTCTTCTCAGGCCTCAGTGTCTCATTTGTAGTAGGCTATTGTTGCCCCACCATGGCTGGGTAAGACAATGGGGCAGGTTGGGGAGTGCTCACAGTTCTTGTCTGAGAGGTACCCAGCCACACTTGGCCCTGGCCTTTCAGTGTATGGCTTGCCCCCATCTCATACTTGTTGCCTCTCCCTTCCAGTCTCCTGGGTGTGGACAAGGTGCTGGGCTATGCCCTCAATGAGTGGCTGCAGGACATCCGCAAGAATCAGCTGCCTGGCCTACTGGGAGGCGTGGGCCCCATGCACTCAGTTGTGCAACTCTGTGAGTGTCTGGCTTTGAGAACTCTGTTTTTTTACAGGCGAATATAGATGAAGGGAAGTAAGGACAACTCCCCCAAAGTGGGGAGGGGGTTCTAAGGGAGGACCACACTTTTAAAACAAATCCATTTATTTTCTGTGTGTATGTGGGCGGTTGCATGTATGCACACCATAGAGTACGTATGGAGATCAGAGGACAGCTTACAGAAATCAGTTCTCTTTCCACCCTGTGAGTCCTGGATGTTGAACTCAGGTCAGCAGACCTGGTAGCAAGCACCTCTACCCACTGAACCATCTTGCTGGCCCTCCTATTTTATTTTATTTGGTTTTTGAGGCAATCTCACTAGCGCTGGCTATCCTGGAACTCACTATGTAAACCAGGCTATCTTCAAACTCATAGAGATCCTCCTGCGTCTGCCTCCCAAGTGCTGGGGTTAAAGGACACTGGCACTCTATCTTATTTTTTGAGACAGAGTCTCATGTAACATGTGCTGGGGTCACAGGCATGTGACACCACACCTGACTTGTACCATCAAACCTAAGAACTCCTGAACTTGCACTTTGATGCAAGGAGCTGTGTCATACCTGTAATTCAAACACTGGGAGGCAGAGGTAGGAGGATTGCTTGTTAGTTTAAGATCAGCCTGAATGAGGGCTAGGCCAGGCTAGGGGCAGCTACTTAGCAATATTCTGTCTTTTAAAAAAGGAAAAAGAAACTGGACTAGGAAAGGGGTGGGGAAGAAAGGCCAGGGCAACCCTGGCATCTCTGATAATCCTGTCCTTTAGTCCAAGGGTTCCGGGACCTCCTGTGGCTACCCATTGAGCAGTACAGGAAAGACGGGCGCCTCATTCGGGGGCTGCAGCGTGGGGCTGCCTCCTTTGGGTCGTCCACAGCCTCTGCTGCTCTGGAACTGAGCAACCGGCTGGTCCAGGCCATCCAGGTAAGTGTAGGGCTGGACAGGAAAGGGACACCCTCATCCCCAGGCTCCTGATCCTGTCTTCACAGTTCTGCTGAACGCTGAACTGGAAAAAGCCGGGCACAGATAAAGTCCTCATGACAATTGTGGCTCCCATGGGTGCGGCCAAAAGTATGTTCTGGGCTATCAGAGCCCACCATGTTTCCATGATCACAGCTATTTGTAAGTGGTGACTGTACAAGGAGCAGATGCAGAAACTGGCCCTGGTTCATCCAGTTTCGCACTTTACTTGGTCCCAGAGCTGCCACACACACACACACACACACACACACCGCCATCATACCAAAACCCCGTCTCCTGGGAAGTGACTGACCTTCTGGGCGGGGTGGGGCTGGGTGAGCCTTCAGGCATGTGGGAACACTGCATCTGGAGACTTTTGAACTCAGCCCAGAAAGGGCAGGGCAGGGTTCCAGGGGGTCTGCAGTGGAGAGGTTCATTTGCATGGGAAAGACCAGGAGTGGGCAGAGAACACAGGAGCCAGAGGGTGGGTGGGCAGAAGTGGGTTTGGCAGTGGGCTTTTTTTTCTTTGGTTTTTTGAGACAGGTTTCTCTGTGGCTTTGGAGGCTGTCCTGGAACTAGCTCTTGTAGACCAAGCTGGTCTCGAACTGACAGAGCCCCGCCTGCCTCTCTGCCTCCCAAGTGCTGGGATTAAAGGCGTGCACCACCAACGCCCAGCCCAGTGGGCTTGTTTTGATGACTCTTGTACAGGGTCTGTCTGTATAGGTGCTGCCCTCTAGCTGAGGAACTAGACAGCTCAGGCAGGTCGCAGGTTTCAGCCATGGGCAGCCTGGGTGTGAGGCCAGCAGGAAAGTTTTTTCCAGCAGCAAGTACCTTCACCCACTCACTGAGCTAGCTCATCAAAACTAGAAGGTTTCTTTTTCTGTTTTTAATTTACTTATTCTCCGTGTGTACCCTGGCTTGTATTTGGACACTTTTAGGGAATCAGTTCCCTCTACCATGTGGGTCTCTGAGGTTGGGGGATTGGATTCAGGTCACCTCAAAGCAAATAACTTAACCTTCGGTGCCATCTTGTCAGCCCCAGAGAGGTTTGTTAGTGCCTCCTTAGTTTGAAGAGCTGGAGGGATGGCGCAGCAGTTAAGGCTGCTTGCTACTCTTGTAGAAGACCTGAGTTCAGTCCCTTCAAAGGATCCTGGGTCCTCTTCTGGCTTCGAGAGGCACTGTGTTCACAGGGTATCACACATGAATAAAAGTAAATGAATAATAAAAGGAAAATTTAAGAAGTTCTGAAGTGAGTGATGGGAACCACTGAAGGGGAAAGGAAAGTGAGGAAGTGAACTATTCAGTTACCCTGAGGAGGTCTCCCAGGCTGGCCTGCTTGGCCATCTGTCATCATTCCAACTCTGGTGTCCTTCAGGCTACAGCTGAGACAGTATATGACATCCTGTCCCCGGCGTCTCCCATCTCCCGCTCCCTACAAGACAAGCGTTCTTCACGGAAACTGCGCAGAGGCCAACAACCTGCTGACCTCCGGGAGGGCATGGCCAAGGCTTATGATGCTGTCCGAGAGGTGAGAACCACCCTAGTCCCACTCCCAGCTCCCCACCCGCACTCTCTCACTGACCTCTGACCTCCACAGGGCATTCTGGACACAGCTCAGACCATCTGTGATGTGGCATCAAGGGGCCATGAGCAGAAGGGACTGACAGGTGCTGTAGGGGGTGTAATCCGACAGCTGCCCCCAACAGTGGTAAAACCAATAATCCTAGCAACAGAGGCCACATCCAATGTGCTTGGGGGCATGCGAAACCAGATCCTGCCAGATGCGCATAAGGACCATGCTCTCAAGTGGCGCGTGGAGGAGACCCAGGACTGACTGCAGGCACCTAAGATCTACCCACTGTCCCAACATGCTCACTGTGTACAGCCAGCCACAGTGGTGCCACCAGCTCCCTGGTTTCCTGATTGCTGTGACCCACAGCTAGGCCACCAGACCCTTCAAGGGATGGCCACTGTGAAGGATACCTGCCCAGTCTGCCTGTTGCCAATTCGCCGTGAGAGTGGGGCCTCCCGTCCCGGCGTTGGGGCCTCTGCCCTGTCTGTGCACTTTCGTCTGGGGAGAAAGGACACTGCTCCTCCTGCTACCTGGGCCACACTGCTGCCTTGTTCCAGAATGAGGATGGAGGCTTTTGGACCCTTGAACCCCACTCAGCCAAGTGTCTCTCCGTGTCTCATGGGGAGGTGGGGGAAAGATGCCATGTGGGTCGGTGTATTTTTAAGATCCCTGAGCGTGTGGGTCAGTGTCTGCATGAAGTGGAATAAACTTGCCCACCGCCAGCCCCTCTTCTAGGTCCTGTGTACCTGTGAGGCCCCAGCCTGCCCCACCTCAGCCTATATACCAATTCCCACCTCTGCACGCAGTACTCTCCTGTTGCCACCAGGGGGCACTACACTCCACCCTCAGCCTTCTGTTGCAAACCAGCCTCCCTCTAACACTTTGGGCCCAACCTAGCTACTATCTTGGGTGCCTATCACTCTGGCACTACTTCTGAGTGGCAGTTTCTGAGTGAAGCTGGGAGGAGTCTCCTGGTGGTCACAGAGGAGGAATGGCTCCAGGAGCCCACATCAAAGCTCCATTTCTTGGTTCTAGTCCTGTAGGAGCCCAAGGTCCAGCGTATTCTTGGGCTGGAGCAAAGCAGAGCTCCAGGCCACTCCTGTGAAGCCCTGGATTGTGGCCTAACACTACACCTATTAGTCGGCCAGCTGAGACAGCGTTCAGGACTGTCCCTCTCTAGAAGGCTGATTCCTGGGCCCTAAGGAGGCTGTTCCTACCATCTTCAAAGAGACTGTTGGAATGTCCAGGCCTTGAAAGGGCCCGTTGCTTCATCCCACATACCTTGTTCACAAGGGAGCCACCCATGGATTCCACCTTCAGTGGCACTGCCAAGAAGTGGGTTGGTCTGTGGGGGGGCTGAGGATAATTTAGAAACCAGAGGTCTCTCACTTTGCTGGGCATCTCTGGCGACCTTTTGGTCCACATTGTGGATCTAAATGTTGAACAGAGACTTGTCCCTGTCCCTTTTACCCCCCACCCCACCCATTTTGCCTGCCTGTGCTTAGCTGGGGCCGACAGACTAGTCAAGAGGTCAAGCCAGCGAAGCCTGAAAGGAGACAAGCCCACGGGTGGCCAGGGTCTGCCCCGTCTGGCACTTCCTGGACCCGCCCCACCAGCTGGGGCACAGTCCAGGTCTGCTGCCCTTCGGACCCCACTTGTGATCAGTATTGATGGCAGTGGGCTAATCATTAACACTACCAGGGCTGGGCCAACGGCTCAAAAGGCTCTGGGCCCAGGGTGGCCCCACTTCCTCCTTGTGCCCCGAAGGCCAGCTAGGTGCCAGGTAAGAGCTCCCAGCTATTTATTCTCCACTGCTGTGCATGAATGTCCCCAACTCCAAGCCTTCCTGCAGAGCCATCAGCCCTTAACAAGAAAAGAAAGGTGGGCATGGGGACTTTGGGAAAGCCCATTCCTGTTGTGTGGCCTCAGTTTTACTTACACCTTTGGGTGAGGTGGCTGGAGCGTCCCAGCATTGAGGAGACAGGATTCCTAAATAGCTCCTATGTCTGTCTGCTGGAAGTACTGTTACCTCATGCTATGCAGCAGGAGGCTGGGCTTGCCTAGGCCTTGGGATAGGCTGCCTGGCTCTGGGAAGATGGTTGATTATCCACTCTGGCATCTTCCTTTGCAAGACTGTCCTCCCAGTGGGGATTCCTGCAAAGGACAGGGCAGGGCCCACCCCAGCTGCCCAGCAATGGTGACTTGGGCAGCATCCTCTGCTTCTGTGGACCTTTTGCTACCCCTGCCACAATGGGGTGCTCTAGAAGCTTCCTTTTCTGGAATGCTGGGTCCCAGCAGGACACACTGGCCCCTGCCACTGAAGCCTCTTGAGGATGAGAATGTACATGAGTTCCTGGACCCCTGGATCAGCCTGGGGGTCCCAGCTCCTTGTCATGGCAGGGAGGGTGGGTGGTGGAAGGGTAGGCAGCTTCCCGCCAGTTCAGACCAGTGTGCAAGATGGCTTCCCAAAGCTCTGGTTTGCACAGGTGGAGCCTGTAGTGCTTAGAGAAGTTAAGCTACTTATCACGCAGCTCCAGGCCCTTGCTAGCTTAGACTACTGGGGTACTAAATTCTTCCAGGGACTGGCTGCCCATATTCCTGCTCTCAGCACCATGTCCTCCCCACCCCCCCCCCCCCCCTCCTCTTTTTTTTTTTTTTTCTGTGCTGATTGAACTAAGCCTCAAGCCAAAGCACTCCCCACTGTCACCCTAGGTCCCTGGCTTTCCCTACCTCCTCCCTGTGTTTTGTTTCCTATTCCCATCTTTTCCTCTTGACCCCTCAGCCTCGCTTTCCCTCTTTTCATCTCGCCCATTCCTTCACTCTTGTCCCTAGCTTCCTGGATAGGGCCACCCTTGTAGGTTACAGCCCAGTAGTCCTTTGCTGTCCCTCAGCCCCATGGCTGCAGCCCTCAGGGTGGGCAGAAGCTGTAACTGGGCCCCAGGTCTATTTAGGAGGAAACAAGGGGCCTTGGGGGCAAAGGGTGTGGGTGTCTCTGAGCAAAGGCTGCAGGAGAGTTGTAAATCAGAGCCACTCCCGGTCTGATGAGGAGGCTCTGGGGTTGAGCCTGGACTTCGCCCAGGAAGAAGGTTGACGTCCTATGGGGTGCCAGGTGTGGGCCTTGGATGAATGATAAGAAGCCTCAATAAAAATTGTGTGGACCTGGAGCCAAGAGGGCCTAGGGTAATGGGTGGACAGCTGTGGGGCTCTTCCCAGGATCCTGCCAGAGAGAAGGTGCCTGCAACCGTGCCCTGACCCCAGTGGCTGCCACCCCCTGTAACAGCAACTCCATGTGGAAGTGCCCACTAGTTCCAGTGGGGCTGCTGTTATCTGGGGTGGAGGCTGGTACCCACGGAGGAAGAGAAGCCACAACCACCCAGCACACCAGCAGAGACGGAGCAATCCTCAGGCCTGGGAAGGAAAGGGTGGTGGGCTGTCAGCAGGCTGCCAAGATGGAGTGCACAGGGCTCTGACCTATGAATTGACAGCCAGTGCTCTGGTCTCTCCTCTGGCTGCCAATTCCATAGGTCACAGGTATGTTCGCCTCAATGCCAGCCGCAAAGACCTGGAGGAGCAGGGTGGGTGTGGGGAGGAAGATGTTAAGGCCCCAGCTCCTTCCACGCTGCTGTCACCTGCTTGCACCTTTGAAACATTGCCTGCCTGACCTGTGGCATGCCTGTGAGTTCTGCATGCTGTTCCCTCCCCAGCTTCTTTGCCAGGTTCTTTTTTGGTTGCTGGTGGGAACTGGCTATGTAGACCAGGCTGGCCTTGAACCTGTCTCTGCCAGAATTATAGGTATGTATGCATGTGCCATTGTGCATAGCACCAGACCCACTCCTGTTGATCCCTGTCCAGGCTCAGCCCAAGCATTTGCTACCTTGTTCTTGAGGTGCTAGGGGTGGGGCCAGGCCCTCCTGCAAAACTGTTTAGACAGGGTCTCATGTAGCCCAGGCTTGCTTCAAACTTCCGGTGTAGTTTAGGGTGACTGGGAAGTTCTGATCCTCCTGCCTCTACCTCCTAAATGCTAAGATTACAAGCATGAACCACAGACCTGCTTATTCATGGTCCTGATGCCTGAGCCCTGGACACGCTACACTGGCATTCTGCCAACCCAAGTACATTTCCCAGCTAGGGTTCTTCTTAAACATTGATTCTAAGTGTCACCTGGCCTCCCAGAGACTCCCCCTAAGCACTGTATTCACTGAGTTCCACTGCCAATTTATGCTTGTGTGTCCATCCACTCACCACCCATGAACTTAGCCCCAAACCCAGACATACAGCAAGTAAGTCTTGCCAAACATCCAGAGACTCCATTTTGCTCTGCCAGAAGCTCTAAGGTCTGAGCAGAGCTCACTCCACTTGCTCTCTCTTGCAAATTTCACCTCCTTGAGCTAGCAGAAACTGGGTGAATCTCTGAGATAGGGGTCAGCCTGGTCTACAGAGTGAGTTACAGGACAGCCAGGGCTACACAGAGAAACCAAACCAAAGTAAATAATGTGGGTCATCGAGATGGCTCAGCTGGTAAAAGCACTTACTTACTGCCAAGCCTGAAGACCTTGTTCAATCCCTGGTACCCACATAGTGGAAGGAGAGAACAGACTCTTCCATATGTTGTCCTCTGAGTTCTACATACATGCTACACACAGAGAAAAATAAATTTAAAATGAATATATTAAGCTGGGCAGTGGTATTCATGCCTTTAATTCCAGCACTTGGCAAATGGATCTCTGAGTTTGAGCCCAGTCGACAGACCAATTTACAGGATAGCTAGGGCTACACAGAAAAACCAAAATAATATATTAAAAAGATTTGGGGGGGGCGCTGGTGAGATGGCTCAGAGGTAAGAGCAGAGGTCCTGAGTTCAATTCCCAGCAACACATGGTGGCTCACAACTATCTATAATGAGATCTAATAAAGTATTTTTAAAAAGATTTTTATGTCTGTACACCACATATAAGCAGTGCCACCAGAAGAGAATGTCACCTGGAGCTGGTGTCACACATGGCTGTGAGCCACTTGACAAACGTTCTTCCTTGGGAAGGGCAGCAAGTGCTCTTGAACACAGCGATCTTTCCAGCTCCACCCCACATACACTTTTTTTTTTTTTTTGAGACAGGGTCTCTTTTTATATCCCGTGTTGGCTTGGAACTTGAAGTCACTCTTTTGCCTTTGCCTGGATGCTAGGATTATGTGTGTACTAGCACCTAGCCAGCTAGAAGAACAAAACTTTAAAAATTAGAAACAAACCCAGGAGCCGGGCATTGGTGGCACATGCCTTTAATCCCAGCACTCAGGAGGCAGAAGCAGGCGGATCTCTGTGAGTTTGAGGCCAGCCTGGTCTCCAGAGCGAGTGCCAGGATAGGCTCCAACACTACACAGAAAAACCCTGTCTCAAAAAAAAAAAAAAAAAAAAAAGGAAAAGAAAAGAAACAAACCTAGGAATAAAGTGAAATGGCTTAATGACGTGAACCAGTTGGCGAGAGCCCTCTCTGTGTGCCAGGCATTCACAAACCTCACCAAGGATCTGGCTACTTGGTGAGGTCACTTGTGAGCCTGTCTCAGAAATGAAGATGCAGACTCCAGGAAGATGAGAATTGGCCAAAGCCACACAGGACCCTCTGAGGACTTGTGCAACAACAAAATGGATGACCCAAGTCCCAACATCATCTCTCAACCCTTTGATCCCATTGTCTTAGCTTTCCTGGGTTCCCATCCACCACAGATA